GATGATTATATAGAATGAATATATATTCATATATTAATTGGCTAGATTGTTTCTTTATTAAATTATTTAATGGTTTATTAGATTCCCGCACTCTCCCTCCCTCCCTATCTCCTATCTATCTACCTATCTAGCCATCCATCCATCATCTATTAGATTATGTACATATTTATTTATTTTCAATTTATGATTATTACTTTGATAAATAACTCAGTGAACAGACCTGATACATCAAAACAACAACCCTGTGAGGTGGGTGGAGAAAAAGTAACCGGTGCAATGTTACCCAGCCGGCTTTCATGTGCCTAAGGCGGGACTAGAACTCCCCGTCTCCTGGTGACTGATCCAAAGTCACCCAGCCAGTTTTCATACCTAAGGTATCCTATGATTGGCCCAAAGTCACCCAGATGACTTTCGCGCCTAAAGTGGGACTAGAACTCTTCGTCTCCTGCTAATTGACCCAAAGTCACCCAGCCAATTTTCACACTTAAATCAAGACTAGCACTCCCCGTCTCCTGGTGATTGGCCCAAAGTCCCCCAGATGGCTTTCATGCCTAAGAGGGGACTAAAATCCCCCTAGAAAAATCTCCCGCTTTTTAGGCCAACACCTAAATTATTACCCCAAACTAGATCTGCTAGATTTCCTCCGATTGCTACCATGACACCACCAGACAGGACTGTTCTTCTCTGTGACATTGGAAACTTTGATCCTCTTTCTACATTCTTCCGTTGTGTTTGGCCCTCATGTCATCCAACTCTATGGTGTCTTCCCCAAACCCCAAAAACTTTAACCTTAGACTGTCTACTATTGACCTCACCCCTTTCCTAAGAGGTCTGTAGGGGGCGTGCATAAGCGCACCAATGTGCCTATCGTCCCTGTCCTATTATTTCTTTTTAATTTTTTTAATATGCATCCATTTCATGTATTCATAACTATGTTATACCTGTTATCTTATAATTGCTTGACACAATAAAATAAATAAATCAAACCTCAAATTCCTTTCCGAACATTTCCTTCTGTTCCAAGATGAGCTCAATGCATGCAGCCCATGTCCCGTGACTCCATATCAGAGATCCCTCCAATTCTCTAAAAAATAATAATAATAATCTATTTATCCGTCCCTACAAAGTTAGTGGTCCGGAATGGAGGTCTGGAGGACTGGCAAACGGGTTCCCAGAAAGCTTTTGGCAGTCAGTCTTTGACTGACGACTCCTATTGAGTGACCAAAATTCTCGTTGCTAAGCAAGGCCGTTCTTCAGTGAGCCGCGACCAATTGGACGACCTTGCTTGCCACTGTCGCTAAGCGAATCACAGTCGCTGAGCCGTGGGGTCATCAAGCATGACTTTGCCTCTGGTGGGAAGTGTTCTGACCGAGGTTTATGGAGACACTAACAAACACACCGTTAGTCCCCAACCCACTTTTTCTTCATTTCAACGGCTGTGAATTTTAGTCATTCACAGCCCATAATGAGTCTGAAAACAGTTTGGAAATAGCCCCATGGAAGTTTTGCCAAAGTCCTTCAGGATAAGGCTGATAAGCACCCACCTTTATCTCCCTGGAAATGCTGCCAAGGACTAATTGCCATACAAGTCTCTGTACAAGGCCAAGGAGCATAAATTCAACACAGAGCTTCAGGTTTCAAATCGACCAGAACGAACAAAGTTGCTTCCTGCAAAGACTCCTGTCCCTTGGCTCCTCCTTTATACCTGATGGGAGGGGCTAATCATCTCCAGGCCTTACTCCCGAGTCGCCCCTTTTGTCTTAACTGCTCTTGCCTTCTGGCAGCTCTGTGCAGGCGCGCACTGGGAACAGGCTCCCGCTGTTCCTCTGCCTCGCTGCTGTCAGATTCTGGAGGCTCCGGAGTCCGCACACAACTCCCAGATGGCCTTGGCCCCATCTCTGTGTCGGACGCAGATCCCTCGTCGGAGTCCTCCCCAAACTAGACTGGCCCATGTTCCTCCCAGGCTGCCGGTGGACCACAATAACAGGTAACAAAAGATGATCCCATGACCCCAGGACTCTGCAACTATCATAAGTAGGTGACTGTTGTCAGGTGCCCTAAATTCTGATCCTGGCCTTGCTGCGATGGTCATAACTGTGAGGACCGTTGTACGTCACGTTTTCCGGTACCACTGTAACTTTGAATGGTCCTTAGATGAACGGTTGTAAGTCAAGGACCAAGGGTACCCTATTTCAAATATTCTCCACCCGTGTTGAAATGAGCCCCCTAAATCAGGGGTCCCCAATCTGTGGGCCACGGGCCACTACCAGGCCACGGCCTAATTGCCACCGGGCCACATGAGCGGCCGGCCAGTGCACACGCATACGGTCCCACACACATGAGAGTCATTGCAGGCAGCCGTCACGGCCCAATTCGCACAAGCAGTGTGGGTGCTTGCACACCTGCTCGCACCCACACCTGCGCCTGCCCCTCCCACCTAATCATCTCCTCTTTCCCCCATCTTCCCTCCCTACTCTGGGCCACCAACCAGGGGTGGGATTCAAAAATCCCAGCAACCAGTTTGCTTCTGGGTGGGCGTGGCCAAGGTGGGCGTGGCCTAATGGAACTTCCGGGAGGGCCGTTTTTTGCCTTCCCCACAGTCCGGAGGCTTCCCTCAGGCCTCTGGGAGGGTGAAAACAGCCTCCCCCGGGCTCTGGAGGCCCTCCGGAAGTCAGAAACAGGCCCGTTTCCAGACGTCTGGTACTTCCGGAAGGCCTGTTTTCCCCCCACCCTTCCAGAGCCTCCGCATGGACCCTACACTTTCCTGCATCCCAAAAGGGGCCGTATGGAGACTGCTGGGATGGAAAGCGCAGGGTGGGCAGGGCCACCCGGTCAGTTCGAATTCTAGTTCGGGGGAAGCGGATGCAAATTTAACGTCCGGTTCGCCCCAAACCGGTAGAATCCCACCTCTTACCACCAACTCAGAAAGTTTGTGGGACTCTGCCGTAAATCACCTGAAAATTGTTCCAAAATAATTGCAACAAAGATGGGTCAGGGTTCTGGAAACTAACACCGATCAAGAATGGTTCCTGGAATTGGGGATGTCTGGTGTAATGAAAAGGAAGACAGGGGGTGACATAATAGTAGTGTTCCAATATTTGAGGGGCTGCCCCGAACAAGAGGGCGGGGGGGG